ATTAGAAATAAATAAACGTATACAAGAAAAATTATATTACAGTGTAGGTATCATACATTACAACATGTGTTGTGTTCCTGTAATTATGTGCTTTTTAATAACAATATTCCAGTTATTTTATATGTTTACAGATCAACTGCTTCTTTATGTTCTTTGCTTCTCCTTTGCTTCCTCTGTAGGTGCGATAAAAACTGAGGCAGAGGAAATGGAAGATAACGAGCAGTATCTCAAGACTGAAAAAGAAAGACAGATTGTACCAAAAGAGGAAGCAGAGGGGGCCAGTGAGGACGGGATGGAAGATGGTCTTGATGAGGAAAGGACAGAGGACGAAGACGATGAGGAGAGGGATGGGGATGGGGATGAAGAAGGAGATACCCTGAATGAGCCGCAGGACCTTTCACTGGTGGACTACTCACGTTACGACAGCGCGACCCTGCAAGACGCCCACGCAGCAGCAGAGGCTGCAGAGGGGACTTGTGTGCCTGGAGACATGGGGCCCCGCATTCAGACGACAGGCAAGCTCAACTGTGACATCTGTGGCCTGTCCTGCGTCAGCATCAACGTACTGCTGGTGCACAAACGCAGCCACACGGGTAAGCACAGGAACACAACCCGAACATCTGACCTCAAATACAACTGTTGTGCAAAGATCGCACTGTTGATAACATTGGGAGAGAGGTGCTTGTATTGACATAGTCAAAATGCTCGATTGAGTAACTATGATTAAGAACACGCAAGTATGAATCATACATGACGCACATTTCCTTACCAGAGCTTGAGGTTGGGAAATGTCTTCTATTATTTTTCAGATATAAAAGCCCATGCAATAAATTACAGCCACAGATCAGTCAGCATATCATAGCACTTTTATAGCGATTATATGGATCAGAAAAATGCTGAGGGAAGGTAAACAGTTTGTAAAATAATGTCTACTGTTGTAGAATGTGAAACTCATGAGGCCAAGTTTTCAACATGGAAGTCAACTGCACAATATGGTTGGTATTTGTGTGGTTTCAGTCGTGAGAACATTGTCTCTAGGTTTCTGACTTTCAAAGTGGATGTTGCCTTGTTCCCTTTTCAAAGATGGTGAAGGATTCTGTTTTTTGCAATTCATCGTCAGACTGGAAGCATATTTGTGATTAAAGATTAGCATCGACATTATTGAAATGTCGCGTGAAATCAGAATGTGTTTATAAGCACATCTTATGTTTAAATGGGAAATGTGCAGGGTTGTTTTCATGCTGTGTTTTTTTTTTTTTGTCTTCCTTCAGGTGAGAGACCATTCCACTGCAGTCAGTGTGGGGCCTCCTTCACCCAGAAGGGAAACCTGCTTCGCCACATCAAACTGCACTCCGGGGAGAAGCCTTTCAAATGCCCCATGTGCAGCTACGCCTGCCGTCGACGCGATGCTCTGAGCGGGCACCTGCGCACCCATTCTGGTACCAGCCAGCCACACGCACGCTCATCCACTCACATGTGAAGCTGATATGCAGTTTTACTGTATGCACCTGTGTACAGACTCACGTGGGTTTCTCTCTCCTTTTGAATCTGATCACACGAGGCCTGCTGAGCTGGCAAGGCTTTTCCAGTAACATCCTGCCGTGCACTCTCACACAGTCACACACATTACATATGACATCTTACTTACTCATTTTTCGGTTCACATGTTGTACCTACAGACAATGCGGCACACTCTTTTCTTCATCATCAGTTTTGTATGAAACCGAGGAAATAATACTCTGTGTACCACTTAGATGTTTCATGTCTTAGTGATTAACTGAAACTCCTGCTTACAGTGGAGAAGCCCTTCAAGTGCAACCACTGCAGTCGCAGCTATAAGCAACGCAGCTCCCTTGAAGAGCACAGAGAAAGGTGCCATGTGTACATTCAGAGCAAAGGTCCCGCTGAGAGAGGTGAGTAGCCATCCCACACAAAAAAAAAATTTCAAAACCCCAACACGTGCAGGTGGCACAAAGACACCGTTCAAACATGCACACGTGTAAACAGTGGTCACACATGTGTGTATGCAACAGGCGCACAGTTAAAGATGTTATTGCTAACAGTTCCTGTTTTTATAGCCTCATTAAATTAATGAGTTTATGGTGGTTACCCCATCATTACAGTTAAATAGAATACGGCTGCTGTGGTGTGGAGTCACTGCGCTGTGAGGACCGCTTCACATGTCTGTGGCAACTAAGGGGAAGCTAAACATGTACGGCAAATGGCTTTATACCAGCCACCAAACACGCACACACAAAACTACCCCCTCTTTGTGTAACTTCCCCAGAGAAACGTCTTCACATAGTGGCAGGACAAATGTACAGTTGTGTGACACCATCAATGCTCTGCTTCTGTTGTCAACAAATGTCAACGGTTTATTTCTGATAGTGCTGTAGTGCTGAGGGAGTACATACTCTGTGGTCTCCTCTCCTGCACCGGTGATCTTCTGATCTTAAGTTATTATCTCGTTCCTCCCAGTGACGCTACTTCGACAGGCGGACGGTTGCTGCTCCTTCTTCACTCGTGATACTGTTTCATTGAGAAGAGCTCTTCTTCTTTCCTTCTTTGCACTTACTCTTCCAATCATTTGTCATCAAGCAGAGGACAGCCACACATCCAGGACTCAGATGGGTACTGAGCGTGCTCTGCTGCTCGACAGGCTCGCCAGCAACGTAGCCAAACGAAAGAGTTCGATGCCACAGAAGTTCACCGGTAAGAGCAGCTCACAACGCATACACTCTAGGGTTGGTATGTCATTTTAAACAGGCTTAAAGGTCCAGTGTGTAAGATTTAGGTAAAAAGGAACTATTAATGTAGAATAATCCTCATGATGTTTTCACTAGTTCGTTTTCATCTAAATTGTATGAATATAGTATAGTTTCTTTACCCCAGAAAAGGCCCTTTATATTTAAATACTTTATATTTTACATGGAGGGGACCTCTCTACGGAGGCCGCCATGTTTTTTACATTAGTCCAGACTGAACAAACTAAACACCTTTTGAGTTTTTATGACAACTGAAGCTACCACAGGTTCTTTTTCATGTTTGGAAGGAGAGGGTGAGGTGAGGGGTATTCAGCTGCAACATGCAACCTCAACACTAGATGTCACTAAATTCTACACACTGTACCTTTAAACAGAAAATTATGAAAGCCTCCATTTGTAGTTGAATTGATAGGGTTATTTAATAATTACTGATTATGGACATCTATATTTCAAAATCGAAGAGCTGCTACAACTATAATATGCAACTGACTTTTTGAATTATATGTAACTTTTGTGCTTTTTCCTCGCATTTATGCTTAACAAGGCGGAATTCATGTTTTGTAGATTGTAGATATTTCAAGTTGTCTGTCTGAGCTACTTGTTTGTTTGTCTCTGCTGGCTTTCATCTTTTATCAAACAGGAATTGAGGGCAGAGCAGTTGCCTCAAACCTGCACACATCACAGAATGGTCTCCACTGTCCTCAATTCTCTACCAGATTTGTGTCATGGGTGGGTATTTGTAAACATGCATGGTTAAATGAATGGACACATGAAAATAGAGACACTCATACTAAGTTTTGATTGCAACTAGGATAATAAACAGATAGCAGTTTCAGTAAATGGCTGACATGGCAGTGATTTCCCAAACTTTACGGTCATTCACAAACAACACAATGATTTTCAATAGCTGGCTCACACCTTTCTAGTTAAGCCCAACTGACACAATCAAGCCCCAAGCTGCTTGCAAGCGAGGGTGTATGTGCAAAAACCATCCTACTTCTCTCCATCAGGTTGACAAATCTTTCAATATGAGAACCACAGGGAGTGAGAGAAGTCATTTCTGCAACCGCAGAGAGAGAGAGAGAGAATAGGCATGTGGCGAGAAACGTGAGCAGGTGCCTCTCTGTCTGTTCGTCTGTGGCGCTCTGCATCAGAGGCCTTCGCCTGCGTCGTCTGCTTCCTCTCAGCCCTCTGTCGTCCTCCAACTTCTGCTGCTGGCTCAGGATGCTCTTTGGTCCTGTGAACGTGGTGTGTTCCAGTTCATGGTGTAGGTTTTCCTTTTTGTTGCCTTGGGTGGAGGGATGCATATTTTCTCATAGACCCTGTAGAGTCCCTTAAAGGTTTCTTTTTGGCTTTTTCTAACTTCTGCATGCTGCCTGTGCTATTTCTCTGCTGTCTTACATACACAGTGTTTAATATGTGAAACTCCTCTTGTTGAGTCTTTGTTCTCGTGTTACTGGTGTAGGCGACAATGGTGTCTGCCTCGACCTGAGCTTTAACAGGGAGCTGGTCCACCAAACTGATGCCAAGGACCCTCCAGGAGGATCTCCGGGGCCCGACGGCCAACATCAGCAACATCCAATCCTCACAGGCCCAGACGGCGATGCAGCTCCCTCCCACAGGCCCTACCCCATCTCATTGAGTCGCAATGACATCAACCCTCTGGGCCTCACCAACGGTCATAAGATAGGCATGTCACTCATGGGCCACCCTCGCAACGCCCAGCCACCCCTATGCATGGACTCATTCCACAATGACAGCTCCCAAATGTCCCAGCCCGTCATGTACAGCTTAGGACACCTGCTGGGGGGGCTGAACCACCAGAACGGCGTCCCTCACCCACATGCCCAGCCCATCCCCTTGTCCCATCCGCTGGATGCTTTGCGAGTGGCCCGGGCTGAGGGGGAGGCAGGACCGGGGGCAGTTTACCCCTGCAGCCACTGCAGGGTGATTTTCCTGGACTATGTCATGTTCACCATCCATATGGGATGCCATGGCTTCCGGGACCCGCTTGAGTGCAATGTGTGTGGCCACCGCAGCCAGGACCGTTACGAGTTCTCGTCACACATAGCCCGTGGCGAGCACCGCTTAGAATTGAAGTAACATTCATTCATGCTTATGTACATGCTTGCACGCACGCACACACACAC